GGCTGCAGCCCGTTTCTGCTTCGGCCCGTTTCGGCTTCGGCCTGTTTCGACGGTTCTGATTCGTTTCGGTTTCCGGGATGGCTTGGTTAGGCTTTGCTGTCGGCCGATGACTTGCTGCATTCGCTGTGGCGCCTACTCCGCCACTGGTATTATGATACTGGCCAACTAAGTTGGAGGGGGGAAGGAGGTGGACGACGAGGAGGAGGAGGATGAAGAGAAGGAGGAGGAGGAGGAGGAGGAGAAGGAGGAGGAGTAGGAGGAGGAGGAGGAGGAGGAGGAGGAGGAGGAGAATGAGGAGGATGAGGGAGGAGGAGGAGGAGAAGGAGGAGGAGGAGGAGGAGGAGGAGGAGGAGGACCCCCCACCAAACTTATGGTGGTGGTGGAAAACAAACACGGCACTAAAAAACCGGACCCCCTCCAAATGCGAACTCATATTCCGGACCCCCATCTTCGACGGGGCGCCTTCGTAAAACGGACCCCCTAAGCTCCAATCCACAGCAAACGCCCTAATTCGCCGGCCCAACGGGCCAGAGGCGTGCTAAGATCTCCGGTAACTGGTTAACAATTTTCTAGTTCGCGCGCGCGGGGCGGCCCCTGGGGGTCCCCGGACGAAAAGTACCCCGACCAGGTCCCGGCCGGTCCCCGGCCGGGTCCCGGCCGGGTCCCGGCCGGGTCCCGGCCGGGTCCCGGCCGGGTCCCGGCCGGGTCCCCCCGAGCGCTCCATGAGCGCACCAACAGGGCTCCGAGACGTCCCCGAGAGCCCCAAGAAAGGCCAAGAGGCCCCCAAGAGGCCCCCAAGATGGTACACGAGGGGTCCGACATGCCACAAGATCGCTCCAAGACGCCCAAGATAGCCCCCAGACGCCCCAAGAGGCCTCCAAGAGCACTCCCAATAGGGCCCCCGGAGGCAAAAATCATTGTTTTTCCATAGGTTTTTGAGAGATTTTGGAGCTTCCACCTTTTCGGCTTCCCGACGCCCCAAGACGGCCCAAGAGGCCCCCAAGATCGCCCCAAGAGGGCCCAAGAGGCACCCAAGAGGGCCCCAAGATGGCCCAAGAGGGCTCGAAGACGGCCCAAGAAGCCTCCAAAACGGTCCAAGAGGGCCCCAAGAACGCCCCCAAAGGGGCCCCAGAGAGGGAACACGAAACAACATTTCGAGCCCTCGGCCCTAAGAAGCCCCTACGAGGCCCCTAAGAGGCCCCAAGAGGCCCCCACGGGGCCCTCAGGAGGCCCCCAAGAGTCCCCCAAGCGGCCCCAGGAGGCCCCCCAAATGCCCCCCCGAGCGCCCCAGGAGTCCCCCAAGCGGCCCCAGGAACCCCCAAAGCGCCGCATTGACACCAGGCCCTCGGGCAAACGGCAGACATGAGACTGTATGGGCCGGCGGAATGAGCGAAGCGATTAAATAAACCGGGCCCCCCCAGTTGCAAAAAAGGTGCCGAAAAAACCGGACCCGGGGGACGATTAATACTGGACATGGGGTAGGCGAATGCTTACAACGAGTGGGAGTAAGGCCAGGATGAGGGTGATGGTGAAGGGGCACCTGCTTCTCCGAAGGGGCCCGAGTCCCGCTGAGGCTCCCGAGCCCGTCTTCCTCCGAGGGGCCAGAGCCGAAACGGGCCCCGAATTCCGTTTCGGCTCCAGCCCGTTTAGGCTTCATCGACCTCTTTCGGCTACGTCGCGTTTCGGCCTAGCCCGATTCTCGGGCCCGGCGAAAGGGGGGATAGCAAAGGGAGGGGGTGAGAATCGGCACACGTAGCTGATTTTCCCGGCGCCTCCCGGCGCCGGAGGCGGCTGTGTATCGAGGAATGGGCCCCTCGGTGGGGCCGAAACCAGCTGTATGCAGCAAATTGTTGACGCTTCGCGTATCCCCACCAGCCCATCCAGAAACGATGCTCAGGGGAGTTGAGGTGATCAGGGAAGTCGGGGAGCATGCAGAATAACAAAGGGCGGGGGAAGCTGTCACAGACCCCGAGAGGGGGAGGATGGAAGAGGAGTCGTCGTCGTCGTCGTCGTCGTCGTCGGAGGAGGAGGAGGAGGAGGGGGAAGAGGAGGAGGAGGAGGAGGAGGAGGAGGACGGAGAAGGAGGAAGAATCGGAGGAGGAGGAGGAGGAGGGGAAGGAGCTTCTTGGGGGTCTTTTGAGGGCCTCTTGGAGGGCTTTTTGGGCGCCTTGGGGCATCTTGGGCGCCTCTTGGGACCCTCTTGAGGCGCTCTGGGGAGCCTTCGGGGCGCTTTTGGGGCCATCTTGGAGGGAGTCGATCAAACAAGAGGGGGGGTTTAATTAGCGTCCCCCCTCGGAAGCCCCTAAAATCGCCTCTTGGACCCCTCTTGGAACGCTCTTGGAGTGCTCTTGGGCGCTCTTGGGGCCGTCTTGGGGCTCTTTTGGGGCTCTCTTGGGGCCCTCTTGGGCCATCTTGGAGCCATCTCCAGGCCTCGGATGGCCATCGGAAGCGAAAAGGCGAGAAAGCAAAAATCATTGATTTTCCTTAGGTTTTGGGACGATTTTGGCCTCTTCGGGGCCTCCTTGGGGAGCTGTTTGGCCACTTGGAGTTATCTTGGGGCCGTCTTTGGGCTTCTTGGAACCATCTTAGGAGCCATCGTGAGCGATCTTGCGCTATCTTGAGCCATCTTGGAGCTCATCTTGGGTTCTCTGAGGCGCTCTTGGAGCCGTCTTGGGCCATCTTGGACGCTCTAACTACCCGCGGCCCCCCCCGTCCAGGTCCAGGGGAGGGGGTAGGGGGAGGGGTAAACCCCTCCCCAAGGGGGAAGAGGGAGGGGTGGAAGAGGATCTGCTCTAGACCACCTACGCCCAGAGGGCTGGTGGGATTTCGTAACCCACCCTTTCCCAATCCTTCCCTTTCGTCCGGCCCGAATTTCGTCCTGGCCTGTTTCCGCTTCGGCGCGTTTCGTCTCGGTCCGTTTCGGATCCAGTCTGTTTCGTCCCGGCCAATTTCGGCTCCGACCCGTTTCGTCCCAGCCCGTGTCGGCTCCGGCCCGTTGCGGCTTCGGCCCGTCTCGGCTTTCGAATTCGCGCCCGCACACGGGCTGGGAAACAGGAACTGGCCGACGCATAGCCTGGTTGATGCTGAGACGGGCCGAGCTGGAACGGGCCGAAGCCGAACCGCGCCGAAGCCGAACCGGGCGGAGCCGAAACAAGCCGAGCCGAAACGCGCCGAAGCCGTAACGGGCTGAGACCGAAACGGGCCGAAGTCGATACGGGCACAAAGCCGAAATGGGCCTGAAGCCGAATCGGGCCCCTGCACAATTTTTCACCAGATTATCCCAAAAGGCCTCCATGGTGTCTCAGAACGATCCGCGATACGGTCCGAGACGCCCCCCATCGACTGCCCACACTCAGCCAAACCAACCCTGGAGACCCCAAGATGGCCTGGGAGGGCCACGGAAGCCTGCAAGCGGAGAAGGGCCCCAAAGGCCAGGTCATAGCTGGAAACTCCCTCCGACGTTCTCAGAGGTGATGTCGCAACGGCTAGAGAAACACAGCGTCCCACTGGTGACTGGCGTGGCCAGATTTAGGTGGAAGGTTAGTTATGCCACACAGGGATTGCCAAGGAGTCAGGTGCTGGTGGTGACAAGCTCGAAGTTTCTTCCCTGGCAGCACTGGAATTACTCCACCACGCACCCCCCCAATGGAACCACCAAATGGAAAATGTTCACAACCATAGTACTCGTATACAGATATGGGCGAGGCCCTAAGGTGGCCGCAATCATGCCAGCAGTGGAAAACAGGATTGGCAAAAGATGGTGCCCTCCGAATCCAGCATTCCCTGGAACAAACAGACATGAGCTTTTTCCACTCGCAACGATCACGACCTTCGGGTGACGATGATATGCCGGCAGAATGCACCAAGCAAACTCAGAGTCACGCGAAAGCCGACCTGCAATAGGCGAGCCAACACGAAGAAGCAGGCGTGAACGATCTGACATGTGCTCCCAGCCAACCGGTATTTCCTTTAGCCGCGGTCTGCCTGACCCTCCGCGCCAACAAATATCCACTTCTTCGACTGCGCGCTTGACCGGTATGACCCATTGTACCGCGGCTCCCTTTAGGTCGGGCATGTCCCCCTACAGGGGGATTTTGGACGAACGTTAAAAATACCCTACAAATATTCCAAAAGTGCTGGAAAATAGTAAAACAAAAAAAGTAATCATATTATTTTTTACTACTTTTGAATGATCCTCCTGTAGAGGGACAGGCCCGATTTAAGGCTCCCTTTCAGAGTTGCCAGTCATGTGCGGGTCACCAGCGGCGACCAGGCGAAACTATGAGGCGACACTAGATACTGCTCCACTGCACGAGGGAAGAGTCGCCCGCACGACTGCTACCGGAGCTTCTGCTCTATCAGCTGCCGCAGCCAATCGGAGTGCTGATCGAACTCGTGCTGAAGCTCGGCGCTGGCGCTGCGGCCCTGCATGACGTCGTCTACGTAGTTCAGCGCCCCGCCGTGCAGCCTTCAGGGGAAGACAACTTGGCACAAACATAAGCTTTTGGAGTTCCGCGCGGACTTCGTGGATCTGCGCTGCAACCCCCTCCCTGGCGCGCTCCGCGCGCCGGGGGCGGCGCCGGAGGCGCCGCCAGGTGGTTGCAGCGCAGATCCAAGAAATCCACGCGGAGCTCCCAAAGTTCGTGCGTGTGCCGATTATTGTTCTTCAAGCCTGGTGGATGCAAGGATGCTCGCCTGCCGCTGTCCCGCAGTCACCTCCGAGATACCGTTCACGAGCACCATCAGGCTCTCAAACAGGTCGAAGAGGAGGCCCTGGCCGCGGTGGAGGTCGGTCTGCAGAAAGCCCGGGTGGGTCGACAGACGGGTCGTGCCGAAGTTGGACCCCAGCTTCCCCTGCTCGAGCAGCATCTGCATGATCTCGTTCCCCACGGCGAACGTGATCATGTTGGAAAACAGGCTTGTGCTCGTCGAGTCGCCAGTGGCCACCTCGCGGTCCAGCCCGCTCATCCTCCCGCCCGAGGCCAGCACGTTCAGGACGCGGACGTGTGGACTCGGGCCCCCTTTGGGGTCGACGGTCATGAACTTGTCGACGCTGTCGTACAGGATGAAACGGCCCACGACGGCGATGAAGAAGCCCTTGTCCAGCCCGTCCTCCTGCTTGAGTGGGGAACCCCAGTCGGGAAACACAGCAGCCGTGGCTGCCAGGTAGTCGAACCTGCCCTTCGCCTCCGCGTCGCTGGACAACGACCGAACCAGAGCGTGCGAGCCGGCTGTGGTCCCCAGGTCGCCCTGAATGTAGCAGAAGGCCTCCTCCAGAGGATAAATGATTTGCATAAACATAAACTTTCGGAACTCCGCGCAAGTTTCTTGGATCTGCGCTGCAACCCCCTGGCGGCGCCTCCGGCGCCGCCCCTGGCACGCTCTGCGCGCCAGGGAGGGGGGCCCAGCGCAGATCCAAGAAATCCGAGCGGAACTCCAAAAGTTTATGCTTACGCTGTTTTCGGGGATCTGCTAACCCGGGTCAACCAGACCGAGGTCAGCAGGAGACTAAAGCACTGCAATGCAGGAAAGAAAACTGCAACGAAAGGGATTCGCAAACCGGATCCAGCCAATATGCGCGGCCGCCTCGTAGCCTCGAGCGGCTCACTGACCTGGGTCAGCCAGAGGGGGACTTCGCATGATCCTGCAGGATCCCGTGCCCTGGCTGACCCCCGTTTGCATTGACCCCCGTCTCTTGAGCCCCGATGCTGATCCTTCTTCGATCCTCTGGAACGGTGCGGTGACAGACCGTCCGGTGACCTCGAAATCTCCCAAGACCGCGCACCGTACGGTGCATCAACGCACGGTTTCGGGACCTCGGACGCCCCAGTCGCCCGAGACGTCCTCGGAGAACGAGGCCCGAGTCCCAAAACCGTGCGGTGACCCCGAATCCCCACCGACTCACCGCACTGTGCGGTCACCACCCCGTTTGGGGGCCCCCGACTTGTGCTGTTTGTCCCAGGGCTGAACCTAAACGGTGTTTTTCGTTTTCGTTTTGTTGTCGTTTTCCCTCGTTTTGTCTTCAATCCGCCCTCAAAACGCAAAACGACATCGAAACGAGAACGGCCCACGGCATCGCCAAAGCACCGTTTATAGGTCCACCCCTGGTTTCTCCTTCTTCGATCCTCCGGAGCCTCGGGCGCCGCTCTGCGGAGGTCCCTGAGGACGGACAGGCCGCTCCCTTCGGAGCGCCCCACGACCGCCACGTGCGCGCCTGCCTCGGCGAGGGCCAGCGCCAGGCCCCTCCCGACGCCCCGCGTGCCGCCGACGACGAGGGCTCGCTTGCCCGCGTACGCTGCCGCTACAGTCAAAACTGATAGCAGGGATGCGCGCTGAGGCCGCAAAGGCCTGGGGCGCCCGTGCAGAAGCTCTTCGAGCGCGGCGGGCCATCGAAAACTAATGAGGATGGACCGAAGATGACCGAGGAGGCAAGGATGCAAGGGTAACCTCGGGAAGGTGGCTGGGGGGGAATCCACCCGCTCGAAACAGGCGCCAACAAAACAGCCAAGATCTACGCTACGGGGGGGAGGGGGGGCGTTTGGGGGCCTGCGCCGATCGGGAAAACAATTAATAAAAAAGCGATCACCTTGGACGCCTTCATAGAAGCGTTTCGAGCGCAGCGGGTCATCAAAAATTGTTGAGGATGGACCTGATATTCCCGAAGAGGCAAGGATGCAAGGGTACCCTTGGGAAATCGATCATCGTCACTATCAGTTTTGACGGTACACTGCCGCTAGCTCTTCCGAGGAGAGGACGCCGAGCTTGCCGATGTCTCGGCGGAGGGAAAGCATCCACCACCGCCGAGTCTCTACCGAGGCAGGCCAGGCCATGTCCCTGACGGGCAGGAGATCTGAGACGTCGACAGAGAGAAAAAAACACGACTGGAGTTAAGTCGGTATGTCCTTCTACAGGAGGGACATTCAACAATAAACAATCAATATGGGGACGATGTTGCGACTACTCTTTGGCTAAATTTGAGCATGCTTTGAGTAGTTCTACATTTTTCGCCCCAAATCCGCCTGTAGGGGGAAATGCCCGACCTAAGACTGAGACCCCGGCCCCATCTCCCATTTTCCCGCATAGCTCGCAGTGAGCTAAGATCTGGGGTTTCAGATTAAGAAGCCGGAGCCGCAGGGTAGCCCCAGAGATATCGTTCGGGCGGCTGTCCACACACACCTCGGCGCAGGCTGCTTGAACATGCGGCGTGTCCCCAAGGAGCTTTTCCAAGCGTTCCCCAATACGCGTGCCCGGAAGCTCTCCAGGTCCTTCGGAAGCTCTCTCCAGGTCCTTCCAGAGTTGTTCGCCAGGCCTTGCCACGCCCTTCGGTTGCCCTGCTATCCGGGTTGTGGGCTCCACAACTTTGAGCCAAATGGATCTGTGAGGGTCCCGTGGCCCGCATCGGGGCGACAACGCTGGGCTCGAAAAAAAGCGAGGCGCCAGGATCTCGGGGCTCCCCCATGTCCTCGCCCCTCTCCCTCCTCGCACGGTGGCCAGCCGCTGCTGCACTGCTAGGTCGGGCATGCCCCCCCACAGGCGGATTTGGTATGCTTCTGTTTCCTTGCTCGCACTTCAAGCATGTGTTCCCAGAACACCGGTCCAAAGACTCCAAACACGTTTTTTGATTCGCGGGTCGAGAGCGCACCTCTTCCGGTCGAAGCTCAGCGGGCCGCGCGAAGCTTGAATTAACAGAGATGGGGGAGGAAAAGGGGGGCGCAGCCTCAGAACGAGGCCGGGAGGAGGCAAAGCCTCGGAATCAGGCGGGGCCGAAGCCGACGTCCAAAGACTCCAAACACGTTCAAACGCAGCCGAACAAGACGCGAAACCTCGTCCCCAAATCTCTAACCTACCACTCTTTGAGTGTGCTCCTCCCGTCGAGGGACCTGCCCGGCTCCGCCGTTGCTGGTCCCGCGCAGGCCCCGAGCGCTCCGCGCGGGCGGCCCCCCCCACCGGCGGCCGCGCCGCCCCAGGGCAGATAGCTTGCCGTCGCTCGGACGTCCATTCCCTGTGTATTGTTCGGTGTCGTGCGTGTTTTTGTTTTGGCTCGATGGTCCAGGATGGTCCTCGATGGTTCTCGCCGAGGAAAAACATGCACACCTCCGAGCGATGCCAAGACAGATGCCTGCGGGGCCTGGCCTGCCGGCGGCCAGCACCTCGAGCTTACCCCTATCCCCAAGATTGACACGCCGAACGGCGATGACAATCTTAGGAATGCGCCCTCAAAAAATAAGGGAATCCCTAAGATTGGCATCGTGATGAGGAGATGTCCAGCATAGGGATAGGGATATGTTCCAGGCTGGTAGGCAGGAGGGCAGCCCAGGATCTGCCTGGAGGTCGCAGAGGGCCCCACGTTCCCAGACCCACGACGTCATGCTCTTTTTCGCTGCGTCGATCCCCAGAAGTCTCGACCCACTCCCCAGGACCGGTTTCTCCCCGGGGGCCGAACATTCGGAACAACCTCCCGTAATTTCTTCATTGCCCGAGGGGTTCTGGGTTGCCAGTGCTAAAGGGGCCCTGGGACACACAAATAAATAGACACAAATAACAGGGTTCCCAACATTCTCCCAATTTTGTCTGGGTTGTCGTCTTCCCCCCCCCAAAATCCCATATCTTCGCATACTTTCTTTGGAATCGGCGATTCATCGTGCCTGTGTGCTCTTGCTCCCCCCTGAGGTGCGTCCTGCGCACGATGCCACAAAAACTGCGTCGACCTCCTCCCGCGGACACGGCGGCAGCGGCCGTTTTTTTCCCCCCCCCCCGCCCGCATGCCGAGATCCCTGGGGGCCGACACCAAGTCCTTCAGGACGAGGGGGTAGAGCACGTGCCGGAACGCCTGCGGGAGCAGGAGGGCCAGGAGAAGCGCTGGCAGGAGAAGAGAAAGCAGCACCAACGTCAGGTCGGGCCTGTCCCCCTGCAGGGGGATTTTGGACGAAACAGAAAAACAATACGAAACGAATGCTCAACAGATGCCCAAAAATACTCAAAACATGGTCCCCAGACTATTTTTTACTATTTTTGATGATTCCCCCCGTAGAGGGACAGGCCCGCCTTCAACATAAACTGTCAAAGTCCAGGCTGACGTCTTGGATCTGTGCTGGGCCCCCTCCCTGGGGCGCGGAGCGCGCCAGGGGGGCCCGGCGCCGATGCAAAAAGTCAGCGCGGATTTGCGACAGGTTGTGCTCGTGCTGATTTTTCTTCTTCGAGCTGAGACGCCGCAGACAGTCGGGCGTCGAGTAATGGGAGCGCGATAAAAGAGGGGGCTGAAGAAAGGTGCATCTCTTGTGCCCTGAAGGGGTCCTGAAAGGGTCCCCCTGGAGCCAAAACGGGGGCACGAAAGGTGCACTCGTAGAAGAAACAAACACCCTACACATAAACTTTTAGCGCTCCGCGCGGATTTCTTAGATCTGCGCTGGACCACTCTCCCTGTCGCGCGGAGCGCGCCAGGGGCGGCGCCGGAGGGGCGGCGCTGGAGGCTCCGCCAGGAGGGTCCAGCGCGGATTCAAGAAATCTGCGCTCATGTCACCGTTCCCCCACGAAACGTGCACGTTTCCCCCCCTCCCCCCCCTGATGGGCCTGCTTTCCACCACCACCATAAGTTAGAGGGGGGAAGGAGGAAGAGAAAGAGGGGGAGGAGGACCCCCTCCCCCCTTCGACTTCTGGTGGTGGTGGTGAAAAACAAGCCCATCACCCCCAATTGATCGCCCCCCCCTTACTAACGCCCCGAGATAACGCCCTTGGCCATCCGCCGGCTGCTGGGGCGCGCGGCGGCCGGCCCCGGCGCCGGGGCGGGGCCGGCCCGGCGCCGAGCTCGAGCGGCAAGGCTCGAGCAAACGGCTACAGACGGGGCCAGTGCCCAAAGGGGGCCCGCAAGGGGGGTCGCCGTCCTCCGGCCCCAGCACCCCAGACCCCCGACGTCATGATTTTTCCATGACGTCGACCCCCAGAGATCTCGACCGGGACCGGTTTTTCATCCTGAGTCGTTTTTTGACGGTCCCGAGGCCCGGTGAGGGCCCCCAGAGGCCGAAAAGAAAGGGAAACCTCCCGTCGTGATTTTTTCATTGCTCGAGGGGGTCTGGGATGTGGGAGGTCTGGGCAACTCGGGGAAGGGCAGGGCGGCGCGTGCCAGGCGGCGTGCAAGGCGGCCGTTCGTTCCCCAGGCGCGACCCGCGCGACACGGTCCAACGGTGGGGCAGCCGAGCGCCAGCCGGGCGCCCTCTCGGGGCACCGCGGCGCGAGGCAGCGAGCCGACCTCGCGGAAGACGACGACGACGACGACGACGACGGCGACGACGACGACGACGACGACGGCGACGACGACGACGACGACGACTACGACGACGACGACGCGGCGACGACGGCGACGACAACGACGACGACAACGACGACGACGACGACAACGACCATCACCACCACCACCACCACCGCCACGACGAGGGCGACGGCGACGGCGGTGACGGCGGCGAGGGCGAGGGCGAGGGCGAGGACGCGGCGGCGGCGGCGGCGGCGCTCCTCGTTCGTGGCCCTCTCCACCTCGGCCTTGCTGTTCTCTTCCTCCGCCCGCGCGCGCAGGTTTAGATCTGGCATGTTCTCCTACAGGCGGATGTTGGAAGAAAAATCCGCCAGCCCCCCTGTGGGGCCATCAGGCTGCGAGGATTAGGTTTCAGTACCATGCACCAGTTCCAGTTGCCAGTCTCCAGTGTTACAGTCCTGCCTTCTGCTCCCTAATGTAAACCGTTGAAATCCGCGCGAGGAGGGGGAGCCGAAAAGCGTCCGGTTACCACCCTCGAGTCGCGTTGTCTCGATTCCTGCGGGGGGTGGGACACTTGAAAACACTTGAGATTCGCGCTCCCGACACAATAGTCCCTTGTAAATTACGCCAAGCTCGCGCCCACGAGGACACGATCCCTTGCAAATTGCGCCGCGTTCGCGTCCCCGAAGCCACGATTCCATGTAAAAGATTCAATATTCGCGCCCCGAGGCCAAGATCACCCGTAAATGACGCTACACTCGCGCCTCTGGGGCCAGGGTCCACCGTAAGTTACGCCACAGTTGTGCCCTCGAGGCAACGAGACCTCATGCAAATCGCGCGATCTTCGCGTCCCCGAGGCCAATAAGCATCGCGAATTACAATGTTTGCGTCCCCGAGGCCACACACCCCATACATTATGCAATGCTCGCGTCCCCGAGGCCATTGCCTTCGCAGATTATATAATTCTTGCGCCCCCCGAGGCAACACATCCGCGTACAGTACGCAAGCTCAGCGTCCCCGAAGCAACAAACCTTCGTACACTGCACAAGATTCGCGTCCCAGAACCTTGCAAATTGCTCAAATGTCTCGCCCCCGAAGCCAGAACCCTTTGTATATTACACCGTAGTCGCGCCCCCCACTCCGCACACCGTCGCAAATTGTAAAATTATTGTTTTCCCGAGGCAACGAAGCTTAAGAAAATGATTCAATGTTCGCGTCCACGTGGCCAAAAACCTTAGCAAATTCTGCGTACTGCCGAGGCCCAGAATGCTCCAATGCGCCCGAAGATGATTCCAAGACGGCCCCAAACGGCCCTAACAGCGCTCCAAGACGCCTCCCAACAGAGCCCCAAGAGGCCAACACCGTCGATATTACAACAGGTTTTTGAAGGAGTCTGGGGTTCTCGAATTTTCGGCTTCCCGACGCTCCAAAATGGCTCAAGAAGCTCCCAAGACCGCCACAAGACAGCCCAAGACGCCTCCAAGAGGGCCCCAAGACGGCCCGAGAGGGCTCCAAGATGGCCCAAGAATCGTTCCGAGAAGCCCCGAGAAGCCCCGAGGAGGCCCCAAGACGCGCAAAAGAACCCGATGCATCGGCGATGCGGCGCGATCCTCCGACCCCTTGATGGGGGGAGGGGGAGGGAACGAGGAGAAGGAGGAGGAGGAGGAGGAGGAGGAGGATGAGGAGGAGGAGGAGGGGGAGGGGATACATCGAGCGTGAATCGGCGATCTGTCGCCGATAGGTCGGCGAAGGGCCGCCGACAGCGAATCCGCGCGGTCCTGGGCGGGGCGGGTCATCGGAACTCACATCTTCGATCATTGGGCGACTGGGGGTCGGTCCATCGCCCCCCTGCGCTTGACTCCCCCCTACAGTCGGGGCGTTGACCTAAGGAACCCCAAATAAGGAACGAGGCCCCTTTTTCCCATAAGTTCAGCCTCGATTTCCCATGGAAAACCTCAGGAAAGCCCGAGGCAAACTTTGAAACATTCAAGGAACACCGAGCCCCTCCCCAACGAAAAGGGTTCCTTCTTCAGCGCCCCGACTGCAACGTTGCCCCTGACCCATCTGTTGGGGCCCCCTGTTCTGGCGGCGAGCGCGGGAGGGAAGCGAGAGGGGGCGGGCCTTCCCAGGAGGCTCCCCCAAGAGGGCACGGGGGCTTCGGAGGCGTCCCGCCGGCCGCCTCCCGAGCGGGCCTCGTCTCTCTCTCTCTCTTTCTCTCTCTCTCTCTCTCTTCTCCCCCTCCTTCCCTGACCTTCCAGAGAGTTATTTTTTAGCACTGGAGACCTAAAAACCTAAACAACGAAACGAAACAGCCTGAAACCAAGACGCATAATAGCTCTAGAGGATCTGCTTTTAGGTCGGGTGCTATTTGTTAGCCCTCCTGGAAGGCCAGGGTTCGCTGCCGGATGTTGGAAGCCCAGGTGCTGCTCATCCTCCGCCCTCGCGGCGGTGCCAGCGCAAGTGTCGGGAATCTGCGGCCGCCGCGGCAGGGGACGGCCGCGGCGGCGGCGGCGGCGGCCGCCGCCTCGCGGGGTGGACGGCGGGAGCCGTTGGCGCGCGGAGGGGGGAAGCACGGTCGAGGCGTTGACCAAAGGAACCCTAAATAAGGAACGAGGTCCCTCTTTTCCAGAAGGGGAACTTCGACGTCCCATCGAACACGTAAGGACGACCTTAGGCAAGGTGTGGACCAATTAAGGAACACCTCTTTTCTCGGGAGGTCCCTCTCTTCTCGGGAGAGGCCAAGAGGGGGGTGTCCAAGAGGGGGGGGGGGGGGGGAAATCCAGACCGGCGGCACGTGCGCGGCCCAGCGCGGGGGCCAGGGACGCGCCATGACCTGAAATATCATGCCCCCCGGATATCCCCCCCCCCCTAGTCAAGCCCCCTCTTTTCCAGAAGTAAAACTTCGACTTCCCCTCGAAAACTTAAGGGCAACCTTAGGCAAGGTGTGGAACAATTAGGGAACACCGAGCCCCTCCCCAACGCAAAGGGCTCCTTCTTCAGCGCCCCGACTGCAAGAGGGGTCAGGTCTTCCCAGAATCGGGCGGGTGGTCCTGGGGGATGGCCCACATGGGGGATGACAGAAACGGGCCCTAGAAAGGGCCCCTTTGGGGGCCCTTTCGGGGCCCCTGCTGCCTCCGAAACGGGCCCTCGCTGACGGGCCCCTTTAGGGTCCTCTTCTCCCCCCCCCAGCGGGCGGGAGATCCTTGGGCGTGACCTACATGGGAACGAAGAAAGAGACCTTGAATCGGGGCCCTTTAAGCCGCCTTTTGGGCCCCTGGCCCTCAATAAAGGGCCCCGTTAGGGTCCTCTTCTCCACCCCCAACTTAGGTAAACCCCGGGACCGCACCAAACACGGCTCAGGCTGAACCGCTGGTCGTCTCAGGGAGAAGAAAACATCGGGGTCCATGACCCGCTTCCTTTGTGGCACACACCTTGGTGCGTGAGAGTGGTTCACTTCAGAAATCTTCCTGCTCGTCCTCGTCCTCCTCCTCGTCCTCCTCCTCGTCCTCGTCCTCCTCCTCGTCCTCGTCCTCCTCGTCGTCGTCCTCCTCCTCCTCCTCCTCCTCCTCCTCGTCCTCCTCCTCCTCCTCCTCCTCCTCCTCCTCCTCCTCCTCCTCCTCCTCCTCCTCCTCCTCCTCCTCCTCCTCCTCCTCCTCCTCCCCCCCAACCTCCCGCTCGACAGAAGGCGGCGGAGCTTCTCAGAAGCCCATCTGGTCTTCTGACAAGCCCTCCGCGGCTCGGGAGGGGGGGGGGGCTCAGAAGCAGCTCCCCGGGAGGCCCGAGGGCGTCTGGAGGCCCGTCCCCCCTCGCCTCCCCCCGGGCGCGCCGCCGAGGCAGACGAGGATGGCCGCGCTCGGCGGCGCCGGTGCGTCTTCGGGCTGCGCACAGGCAGTCGGAGGTGGTCCCGGCTGGCCTCAGCACGCTCTCTGCAGAGCCCGGGGCGGTCTCGGCACCCCAGGCCTGGGGGCGCGGAGCGGCCCCAGGGGCGCCGCCAGAGGCGGCGCCCGGGGTGTGCAGACCACCCTGGGCTGCTCGGGTGGGGGGGGGGCTGTTGAGGCCAGCTGGGGCTACTCCCCTGACCTTCCAGGAGGGCTAAAAAATAGCACCCGACCGAAAAACCCATCCCAGAGCTATTCTACGTCTTGGTTTTGGGCTGTTTCGTTTAGTTTTTTAGGTTTTTGAGTCCCAGTGCTAAAAAATAGCTCTCTGGAAGGCCAGGGTCGGGGGGCCTGTGGGGCCAGCCGGGACTACCTGGGCGGGGGGGTCCTGTCTGCGTGCAGTCCGAAGCATTGCCGGCGGGCGACACCTGAGGGCACTCCAGCAGACATCCTGCCCAGCGCCCTAGCGCGCTCCGGGAGAAAGGGATCGCAAGCCGCGGCGGCTGCTCCCACAAATGGCTATAGCGGGGCGGGCCGGCATGTCCTCCTGCTGACGGCATGCCGCCCGGCAAGAGGGGTGACGGAAAACAGCTATAGAGCCACGGCGCCGCTTCTTCCTCGGACAAGTGGGCACTCGGAGGGGTGCGGCCGGCCCTGGTTGTAAAACCGGGCTAGGATCGGGATAAATCGCTCCAGAGCGTTCCGGAGCGCTCTCAGAGCGTTCCGGCACGCTCTGGAGCGGCCGCGGCGCCCAATACATCCTCCAAACCCGCCGATTCTCAGAGATTTCGAGTTAGCCCGATCCGATGTTGTCCCGATCTTGGCGTCGTTTTAGAGGCACGGTCGCCAATACTGCCACCGCGTGCGCTACGCCGC